CCACTGCTACCACTGCTACCACTGCTACCACTGCTACCACTGCTACCACTGCTACCACTGCTACCACTGCTACCACTGCTACCACTGCTACCACTACTACTAATTAGTTATCTATTTTAAATTTAAATTTAGTTGTTACTTCTATCCCTAACGGTCACTTCTGAAGATGTATGTTGAAACATACGCAACGTCAAGTAAATGAAGTTTGTTTTTCAACAAGTGTTTTATTGCCATGTTTATCACCGCAGTTTGCGTGTTATTTCTTATCAAGTTTGGACCACTTTAGGGGTCGATTTACACGGTACGACTTTCTCGCATGCGACAAGCTTACGACAGGCCTTCGACATGAATTGTTACTTGTAAATCAAACCCACAACTCGCTTACGACTGTTGTGTGTAGGTCAAAAAAATGTCGTAGGGTTTTAAAACATGTTTTAAAACGCTGCGACATTCGTAGCCGGAATCGATAGAAAATGGCGTATTTTGTGACAAATTTCTACTGAGTAGGGGACGAGGGTGAAGTTTTTCTTGCGTCAGAATGGCGGACGAAGTTGTTGTTGTCTGATTGACATGGACTCGTTTCTCGAAAAGTACTGAACAAATTGAAGCAAAGCTTGTTAGAAAGGTTTTTCAAAGCGCAGGAGAACTAAAATATTTGTTTGCCGTTTGTTAGAAATTTGTAAGTGAAAATGTCGTGCGCGTGTAAATGGTCCTAAGTCATGTCGTGGGCCTGTCGTAAGTTTGTCGCATCGGTCCTAAGAAGATTTAGGTTTAGTCATTGGGCTAAACTAATTGAGTACAATGAGGCACGTATGCCCGTAATTTTTCTTTGTTTCTCAGGGTCTAAAAATCAAAACTATTCTTCTAAGTTCTAGAAAGTTCAAAGGACTGTCTAGTTACATTATCAGTGAAAAAAATAGGGTGTTCCATCGTTTTTAGTGTGCCTTCTCCTTTTCTGAGGATCTTGACAAACAACTTACTACAGATTTCAACAAGTATCTGACAACAAACAAAGCAACTACTAAGACTAAAAATGCCAAGAACAAAATATCAAGCAGATAGAGCTGATAGAACGGCAGATCCAGGCCCCGTGGTCTGAGATACTGCAAACCACCTTGAGCCTGCGTGTACTCCACCCAGTCAGCGGCTTCTTTGATGGGCGGACGCGGCAGTCGCTGAATGGATTTTGAGATCCGCTCCGCCGACTCGCGATAACTAGAAGAAAAGAAATTGATTAGTTGGTTTTTCTAATTTTAAAGCTTCTCAGTATTGCGGCACTGCTTTATGGGGACTTGTCGCTGGTAACGAAATTAAATCAGTCAATAGACCAATTTCTATATTTTAAAATTCAGCCTAACACAGTAGACTTCAGCACGAGGCTCTGGGGAATAAACCCCACAAACTCTGTAGTTATTCCGCAGAGCCTCGTACTGAGGTCTATTGTTTTAGTCTGAATTTTGATATATCGAAACTGGTCTATTCCGAGTTGCTTTTACCTCTGTTTCAAGACGAGTCTTGGTGCACAACCTATCACATGGAGATGAGATTTTCTAGCGCGTTCATTGTCTTGCAAATCAAACTCATTTCCATTGAAAGGTTGTGCACCAGGACTCGTTTTGAAAAAGAGATAAAAAGCAACTCGCAAATGGCTTATTAATTCCCTGTTCACACCAAAATACCTATATTCAAACCCGATCAATTAATTTTTTCATCGATACAATAAGAAGAACTTTACCTCAGAAGAATTGTTTGAAGGGGTATACGGAGTACAGAAGAGCAAAAGTGTCTTCGCTGATAAGGACCTCTATCTCAAAACAAGTTCTACGTTTTAATATCGTTTCTTAAAACCTAAATCTAAATATAAGTCCATGGCCTTATGTTAGGAGAACCAATTGGCAATTGCTACTAGAAGAGTTAATACGTCTGTACTTTGGGGAGCTTATATTTGCCGGGGTTATTTTTATAATACTCACCTGGGTTGGGTCAACACCTTGTGAATTAAACTAACAAAATCTTCTGCTGACGTAGCCTTTAAGTCCAGTACCTCAGCAAACCCAGCTTGCTTTGCCATTTGGGCGTTAACAGGTTGATCTCCAAAGAACGGCGAACAAATCATAGGGACACCGTGGTACGTAGATTCATATATCCCGTTGATCCCTGCGTGTGCTATAAATAGACGTGTCTTGGGATGGCCTAGAATGTCGTTTTGCGGTAACCATGACAAAACTTTCACGTTTTCACTCGCTGAGACCTTTGATGCGTCTGTTAAGTTAAGGAGAGCAAGGCGTTCAGCAGTTTTTTTTTTAAATGATTAAAGCAAATGATGTACATGGCGTTCTCATTGATTAATGCTAGTTTTCATCTAAGGAGATGATTATACTGAGAGGACTTTTTGACGTCGAGAAACAGCATTATCACATTTTTCGTCAAAGCTTTTAACAAGTGTGAATAACATAAGGTTTCGCGGACTGGTCGGTCCTTATTTTATGTTTTACAAAGTGATCATGTCATAGACGAATTGAACGCAATAAACTACCTCTTGTTAATTAGAACTTCGTTCTATGGTGATTCGTAAACTGAGTGCACACAATACCAGCCAATGTAGGTGTCTCCTAATTTACAATCAACACGATTCACTCGTCATGAATGCTTTCACGGAATATCCTGTTCAAGAAAAAGCTTGCATATATACGAGAATGCTTAATCCCAGCAACTGGTTTCTGTAAATCATAAACGAAACCATTTTTAATCATCTTAGGTCAAACTGTTTCATACCCTTCAGCGTGAGTTTCCATATAATCTTCTGAGACAGTTTAGAAAATGCTTCAGTCATCATTTGCAGTAAGGATTCATCGAGTTCTCCCACCACCGTACCAAAGGATACCAAGATCACTCCTTCGTCACCAGCCTCCTGCATGAACTGATCCAACTCATCTGGTAGAGGTTTGGGAGGACTGGGTAGGAATGGACCCACCACTCGAGTGTCTTGAAGTTAGAAATTAAACGCAAAATGGATAGAGAATAACACATAGGCTCGCAGATATGGAATGTCTTTTCGAGTGTTCAACGCGATATCTCTTCTATGCTTACTTCTTACTTGTAACGCTTGCCCCAAGTGTTACCGCCGACGTTAACACTACTGTTCAACTATACGAAGATGGTACAAAATGCTACAGATCTCAGTATCTTTAATGATTCTAATGGGCGACAGTTGCAACGTGAATTATCAAGTCTAAAGAGCTGGAGTTCAGATCACTTGCTGAGTTTTAAACGACTAATAAGTTCCAGCGCTTCGTACGTCATTACAAAGAAGAAGAAAGCTCTGCAGACATTGTACATTGTGAATGGGTCGCAAATCAAGGATGTAACATGTAAGAAAGATCTTGGTGTTCTTATCTCCTCAAACTTATCATGGGACGATCATTTTGAACTTCTTGAATCAACTGTCAGCAAAGTAAGTTAAATCATTTACAAAACACACACAATGAATGTGATCAAATAACTCTGTTGAATCCTTCTAACCCTTAAGCTCACCCATAATGAGAATACTCATTATAAGTCTGGTCCTTACACAAAAGGAAAAATTGTGGTTTTTGAGCAGGTTCAAAGCTATGCAACTGAAGGTATTTTGGAATGTGACTGAAGTAGTTAGATTATCCAGAACGTTTAGTTAAACGAGGTTTTTTGAGTGCAGACGGGAGATATTAGACTTGATGTTTTTTCCTTCAAATCCTCGTAAATAAATAGACAAGAAACTAAATAAAAAATAGATTAATTAATAAACTTTGAGATCTACGCGCAGATACCACGCCATAAAGAGGGCAGGCAGCATTATTTCGCAGTCCTGAATTATTTTGAATAGCATACAATTTAATTTAAAACTAAGGTACGTACTAGGAAGTAGAGGTCTTGGGTGGCCCTCTAAAACGAAATCCATCTGACCGAGTACCAAATCAACTCTCCCAAGCGTTTCATATATGTTCTTGCTGGGTGTGATGCCATGCTTTACCTTGAGTTCGTTGAACATCGGACATAAATCGTAGATGTAATGCACGTACAATAACAGCCATTGTATCACGTTCTTCACTCTGTCCACAAATGTCAACTCTTTTGTAAGAGAAGCACCCCATTGCGGCACATAGGAGGGAGGGGAGGGTAAACCGAACCCAAGCCCGGTGGGTGTGGAGAGGCTAGTTGCAGATATGATTACATGTGGAAGGTCAAATTTATCTGCAACTAATGCAGAACACAAATACAGTATCTCGCCAACAACAAGATCTGCATGCCTAATTTCTTCCATGAACTCTGCGTTGCTAAGCAAGTCGTCACAGTAACAGGACTGGTACATCAACAGATATCTCAACTGTTCTATGTCAGGCACTGCCATGATATTACTCGAAACGACCTCGGGTGGGTTTCTGAATAATGCTGCGATCTTGTCGTCGTTGTAAACTCGGGCGATTGAGTCATTTGCGGCGTAACTCTGCGTTGCTCCTACATATATCTTTACCTGTGCAAACATAAAAACGTTTCGTGGAGTTAGTACGGACCATGTTATAACAGATTAAAAGAAACCAGGATATCCCACCATTGCACGAAAACATTTATACATCCTTTACTCATGGCTTTTCCAAAGGAGGCTTTTCAAAGACAATAACTACTAAAAGTTAATATTACCACAAACCTTGAAATAAAGCTTAGACTTCCTCGAAAAAAAAGTTCTGGAAAGTCTGTGGCAAAATGTAAGTTACTACTTGCAACAGAAAAAGTAGCACAACTAACAAAAATCAAGAATGTGATGATATTTATGGCAAAAGTTGCGATATGACTTTTATTTTTGCGAGGAGTAACCAAATCTGGGCAGTACAAACCAGACCGGATTGACCGGTTAAACTTTGGTAAAGGAATCTATTCCACATTAGTAGAAATCTTCTAGCGTTTTAACACGACTGCCGTTCTCTGATTGGCTGCGTTACTCACTATCTATTGACAGATAGTGAGTAGCGTAGCAGTGAGCCCTTGTTAATGTTAACAAAATGAAGCCCTTGACGCCCTTCTTGGCGTTTACGAAGTGTCTGTGACGAGGATTTAGATAAATTTTTGAACGACTAGTAGATTTATACTAAAAAAATTAGATTATTGGCTCTCGATTTCTGTGCGTGATAGTTGACTCGAACTGCGTCCTCGTCCTCGTCACGCAATAGAAATCTCGAGCTCATAATCTAATTGTTCAATAGACTGTTTATTTTTTATAAGAATATATTCTATAAGAATATCAAGGCTGGAATTTGCGAAATTTTAAGAATATTTTAAGAATAAACCTGCATGACGCTGAGATTTTCAAAAGAATATAATTTTGTGTGTTGAAAATTTGTAAATACAATACAGTTGTGTTAAAATTCTTTCTTTTATCAAACGGCGAAACTAGCCAAAAAGTAACAAAAACAGCACCAGCTAGCCGTATTTTAGATGCTTATAACATTTCTGCAAGAGGTTATGTGCGTCATATCAGGCTGTCTGCAGGCTGGCTCCAAAATTACTTTAACATCATCCAGACAACAAATACATTCAAAAACAGAAATGCCATACCCTATAATCTAAGAATATTCACAAGAGATATTTTCAGCCTAAAATCGGCAGGAAAATAAGAATATTCAGCCTCAGCCGGAAAAACAATATTCCTACAAAAAAAAAGAGTGTAAGGAGAAAAAAGAAAAAAAAAAATGATATACTGAAACCCGTCCGTTGACATTTTCCATGAGTGAACAGCCAACGAAACACAACAGCGGACTATCACTTAATTAATGAAAACGAGACAATAGACACTCCGTGTATGTATACTTCAAAACTCTTTACTTAAGTTATGTCTGTGGCGATAGCAGCATAATTTTCATAAATATAGTCACGCCAGTCCCCCTGTCACGAAATCTGATTCATCGGCTCCTTTAATGCTCCATGATCCGAGTGATCCTGATCCAGATCTCCCCGACGGAACGCACCTATTGTGTCTTATTCTTAAAAAGACATAACATTCGTCCTCAGCTGTCCTCTTTGACTCTATCCTGCTAACTTTTCACATCAGGCTGATTACGGTATTTCAAAGTCCTCGGTCGTCCTCGTCCAAACATCGCGATTTGCTCTCCCTGTGAATCGCACTTATAACTTCATCTTGGAGCTTCTTGGTGTTGCGGTTTACGTACGAGTGAAGGGACTTTGGTCACAATTTTGGCACAGTTTTGACCAAAATGCAAAAAATTGGATTTATATTGCTTCGCAATCGCCCCGTGGTCTTACATCATATAAAACCAGTAGAATGTGACTAGAGTGGAACTAACCGATTGCTCGGACCAAAAGTCGTGTCCCTTAGATTTTATATTTCATTGCTGATTTAACCCCCGATATCTCCAGCCAATTGTCGTGACTCTTGGAGATCTTGGAGGTTCGAACAAACGTGATTCCACTGTAAAGAAGGTGCGGGGAGGATAAACAATTTCTCGGCTATTAATTTGCTTACCTGATGACCTCTTTCAGTCAGTTCTTGACCAAGCTTAGTGTAAAACATATAATGGCTTCTTCCAAACATGGGAAACATGACAAAGTTTGCAGCCGAGCAACATGAAAGAATTGCAAGGCACACCAGCGCTCTAAACGTAGCCATATTGCTGGATGGATTGAAGTTCATTCCAGACAATAGATATTTGTTCAAAAACGCTGACACAAGCCTTTGATAGTCACGCAACGGACGAATGAGGAAAGAAGGGTAGAGTTTGGTGATGGTTTGGTCGAGTGTCTCGATCCTCTTTAAACTGAAAAGTATSATTTTGGAACTGACTGCAACTGCTGATTCACACAACGTCTATTTTTCATGTAACAACTTCTTGCTCGGCCAGACTGGTCTTTTTCAGCTTTAGGACTTCATGAAAAGTGATAATAAATTTGTCATAAAAATAGAGTTCGTCGCAATATGCAAAATACAAGCGAGGAAGGAAATGACGTACATGTAAATCGTAGCGATATAGCAATGACGCAGCAAAATTAAATGGAAAAGGAAAAAACGCAAATACTGTAAGGTTTCGAAAGTAACGGCCCTCGTTACTTTTTTTTAGGTGGCGGGGAAGGGGTTGTGCAATTTTATTGAGCCTGATATTTTTTTCTCACCTGTAGGTTTTTCACCTTTAGGAGTTTTTGGGTGGGCAATAACTTGGGCAAGGATTTTTTTAAAATCAAACACATAACCTTTACAGCATAAAGCACTCGCTCAATTTTTTCCTATGGCTCCCCTTTCACGAATTTTTTTCAGCAGGTTTTGCCGTGCACAAATTTATTTTGCAAATTGCCCAACTGGAGAAAGTCACTGAAACAAAGTCTATCAAGCGTTCGTATCTACTGTTATTATTTCGGACGCTTAAAATTTTCGGACGGTTCCATTTTCGGCCTTTTTTTGCCCGAAATTAAAATCGTCCGAAAATTGTTGCAAGTAAGGAAACCGGTAATAATAGTATGACAGTTCATTTTATTCAATGGAAATCACAGTTAAACAAAAAGTATTCTGCTTAGTAAATGTAATTAAACAATAGACAAATTTTGATATATTAAAATTCAGCCTAAAACAATAGACCTCAGTACGAGGCTCCTGGGAACAACTACAGAGTTTGTGGGGTTTATTCCCCAGAGCCTCGTGCTGATGTCTATTGTGTTAGGCTGAATTTGAATATATCGAGATTGGTCTATTAGTAAATGAAGCAAGAAGAATCGAAATAAATGCCCGTTAGACCTAAACGTTAGTACAAGCGAAATCATACGGTTCGTGAAACCAACTTTAAAGTACTGATTTTTTAATTAAAAAAAAACAAACAAACAAACAAACAAACAAACAAACAAACCGAATCCCTGTCTCTGAGGCTCCCGGCAACATCGCATGCGATGTTATACCATGTGCCCGTAGATTGACTGCCTTTCTCAGGGCAAAAAAAAAAAATCAGAGATTTACTCCCCCTAGCTCCAGAGCGGTTCTAAGACTAATAAGCACCACCTAAAGATTAAAAAGGTATTTCGTCTTTTCAGTTTGCTTTCTCCTTTTCTGAGGATCTCCACAAACAACTTATCACAGATTTCAACAAGAATCCGATAACGAATACCACAACAACTAAGACTAAAAATACCAAGAACAAAATATCAAGCAGATAGAGCTGATAGAACGGTAGATCCAGGCCCCGTGGTCTGAGATACTGCAAACCACCTTGAGCCTGCGTGTACTCCACCCAGTCAGCGGCTTCTTTGATGGGCGGACGCGGCAGCCGCTGAACGGATTTCGAGATCCGCCCCGCGGACTCGCGATAACTGGAAGAAAAGAGATTACTTTGTTAATTTCATTTATTTTTAAGGCACTGCAGTACCGAAAGCTCCTCATCAATATTTTTTGTTTTATTTTTCATTTTACAAATAAAAAGACAAAAAAACTACATAAACTACTGTTGAAAGTATAGCTTCTCATTATAACTACACGGCATTAATATATAGTTCTCTGAAAGCTAAATCTAAACATGAGCTTATGTTCTTACATTAGGAAAGAGAAGTGGTGTGGGAAGATCGTTACTGGAGGACGTTCTACGCGGGAAAGTTGGGAAGCCTATATAGTTACGTAATCCTCACCTGGTTTGGATTAACACCTTGTTAATCAAACTAACAAAATCTTCTGCTGACGTGGCCTCTAAGTCCACTGTCTCAGAAAACCCAGCCCGCTTTGCGATCTGGGCGTTAACAAACTGATCTCCAAAGAAAGGCGAACAGATCATTGGCACCCCGTGGTAGGTCGATTCAAAAATCCCGTTGAGTCCAGCATGTCCTATGAATAGACGCGTCTTGGGATGGCCAAGAATGTCATTCTGCGGTAACCATGACAACAATTTCACGTTGTCGCTAATTGAGACTTTGGATGTGCCTGTTAAGGGTAAACGCGGGTAAGTTAAAATGTGGATTACATTGGGTTCCGATTGGTCGATTTGTGTCTATTTTGTGTCGATTTGTGTCATGAACTAATCAACGAATTGAACGCGATAAACTTCCTCTTATTCGAAATAATTCTTGTACTAATTAGGAAATTGAGTGACACAGAAAAGCTGTGAAAGTGTCTATTAACCTTAAAAAGAAAGAATGCTTAATCCCAACTGATTTCCATAAATCATAAAGCAAACCATTTTCAATTATCATCTTCGGTCAACCTGTTTTTGTCGACATACCCTTGAGTTTCCATAAAATCTTCTGTGGCAGTTTAGAGAATGCTTTAGCCATCAGTTGCAGTAAATCTTCATCGACTTCTTCCAGTACCGTACCAAAAGAAACTAAGATCACTCCTCCGTCACCAGCTTCTTGCATGAACTCATCCACCTCTTTTGGTAAAGGCTTGGCAGGACTGGGCAGGAATGGACCCACAACTCGAGTGTCTTGAAGTTAGAATTTAAATATAATGACAACTTTAAAAAAATAGAAATAATCAAAGCGCTGTTTCATTGAGTGTCGCAAGCAATACACATTTGCTTTAGTTTTTCGTTCCTGTGTTAAACGATTGTCTTAAAAGTCTCGCGCTACTTTGTCATCTAGTTAAAAGTTAAGAAAAAAAAAAACAATCGTGACTTCTCGCCTACTTTTGCTCGTTGATTTGCAACCAAGATACTTACTAGGAAGTAGAGGTCTTGGATCTTCTAACACAAAATCCATCTGACCGAGTATTAAATCAACTCTGCCAAGAGTCTCATGTATGTTCTTGCTGGGTGTGATGCCATGTTTTACCTTGAGTCCGTTGAACATCGGACATAAATCGTAAAGGTAACACCCATACGATAACATCCATTTTATCACATTCTTTACTCTGTCCACAAATCTCAACTCAGGTGTAAGAGAAGCACCCCACTGTGGCACATAGGAAGGAGGAGACGGTATACCGAACGGAAGCCCCGTGGGTGTAGAGAGAGTCGATGCACTTATGATTACATGTGGAAGGTCAAATTTATCTGCAACTAATGCGGAACACAGATACAACATCTCGCCAACAACAAGATCCGCGTGTTCAATTTCTTCCATGACTTCTGTGTGGCCAAGTAAGTCGTCACAGTAAAGAGTCTGGTACATGAACAGAAATCGTAACTGTTCTAGGTCGGACGTCGTCTTGAAGAAATGCGAAGTGGGTCGACCGGCTCTCATCATTGCGGCTGCTAGCTGGTCATCTTTGTAAACTCGGACGTTTGAATCATTTGCGGCGTAACTCTGGGTTGTTCCCACAAATATCTTCACCTGTACCAACATAAAAACATTTCCTGGCGTTGGTAGAACAAATTAAAAATGAGAATTCACGATGTGCTTCAAAAAGTTAAATACTGGTGCATGAAGAAACCTAAAATTAAGCTATAGTCTTCTTCGAAAAAAAAAAAAGTTTGAAAAACTCTGCGGGAAAATACAAGCTGTTACTTGCAATAGAAAGAGAGAAAAAGAGAACGTATTCCAAGGATGTTGCTCGTGTAATACACTCTGATATTTTTAAACTAGTGCAACACAAATTTTCCAGACATTTTGTTCAACTCATTGCACTTCACGGGACATGTCGCATGAACAAACGTTTGTCGGAAGGCGATGTCCTCTTGTGTGTAAAGCATCTTTCTCCTGTAAAGCACCTTTATCTGTAGGCACCTTAAAGACATCGGGGTACCATTGACATTTTTCCATTTATTTTCTTTCCAGACTGTAAGTCGCAATAAGTCTGCGTCGAGCCAAATGACCCACACAGCCGGAGCTTATCCTGGTTTCTGTAGGGTGAAGCGACTAGGAGTATTTCCACTCCCCCCCTCCCCTTCCCACCCCGCTCACCTGTTGATGGGATGTTAGTCCATGGCAGGGTTATCCACCATCATTAAATTCGTTGATACTCATTAATAATAATTTTTCCTTTCGAGAACAACGCCCGCGATCGTGGACCCAACATGTACACAACAACCTTAGAACCGATCAGATTTGCGGAAAAAGAACGCTGGATAAATGCTAATGATTTTGAATTCGCAATAATCCATTACACAATAGGACCACGAAACAAACAATAACACAAGACAAACATTTTTCTTTTGAGAAGTCTGAAGAGGAAAAAGTGTAATGGCGCGACCAAACGAGTACCGCCTTTGTCCGCCTTCAGGTTATCACCCCAGGCTTAACGGGCAGCGTACCCAGCGAGCCGCTCCAAACAAAGCACTCTTCGCCTTTCAAAACCCTATCTCGCATTCCATTACAAAATCTGTTTCGTACTGATTTTCCATTATACTAAGAGCTTACTAAGGTGTTACCCAGGTCGGCCGAAGAGATTTATGTTATTAGACCAAGAGAAAATGAGGGTCCCCTCATTTTTTCTCCCTGAAGATGAGCTTACAGAGACTACAGACCTAAAGGTTGCGTGTACGATAAAGAACTAGAGATGAAATTCCACGTGATTAAAGGATAATCAATAAAACAAGCAAAACAAACAGTGTGTTACAAACCAGATTTGGTTAGTCCCGGTTACTTATCTGACTTAATTATAGCCAGTGATCTGTCTCAAATACTCTGAAGCCTTATATCATGGACACAGACGGTATATATTAGGCTGTCAAACTGCTTGCTGTTTAGAAGCTCGTGAGTGCCAGTGGTCTTGATGAACTATCAATCAAGACTGGAATCCTGACTAAAGTCATAATGTGTATGTGTGTGTAGTTAACCCGAACTTCCGAACGTGGGTAGTCTTGCTGAGTCACGCTCAGACTGGCGAGCACAATAGTGGTATTAACCAACATGGGCTTTCCACTGAGATACCAATTGACAGTGCTCTAACAACTGAAAAGGGACAAGTTCGATTGTAATCTATTTTCTACTATTTTAAGAGCAATAAGTAGTGTTTCTCCGCTGATTTCAACCACTCTGTACGTCTTTCAATAAGGCGAGATTCTGCAAATTAACAAAGGTCTGTAAAACAAAATGTTCACCCACTGAATGAAGGTCAGCCCATCCACTAATTCATTTTTACCGTATTTGTTTTTACCTTGTTTACTGGAAAAATATTTCTAAATGGAAACGATGAGATACTTTTTTTCCGTCTCTCTACTGCTTTAGGGATTGCAGTTCGTTATTCAAAACGATTACGGCAAAATTCCGGTTTCTCGAACCATTGGCATCATCATGAACCTCCTGATAGCTCCGTGGTTTCCTTTAGATTTGCATTGCATTGCAATTTAGCACCCGATATCTCTAGCCAATTATCGTTACGCTTGGTGGTTCGAAAAATCAAGATTTTATTGTAAGTGATGTGCTGGTAGAATTAACAATTTCATGCCTATTAATTTGCATACCTGATGACCCCTCTCGGCCAGTTCTTGACCAAGCCGAGCCACGAACATGTAATGGCTTCTTCCAAACATAGGAAACATGACAAAGTTTGCGGCCGAGCAACATGAAAGAACTGCAAGGAACACCAGCGCTCTCAATGCCGCCATATTGCTGGATGGATCAGTTGAAGTTGGTTCAAGACAATAGATGTTTGCTCAAAAGTGCTGACACGTCCTGACACTATTGGGATCTATCGGCCTAAGCCTTAATAGTCACGCACTGCCGTCAGGGGTGAAATCGGAGTCCAGCTTTCCCGGAACCGTAAAAGTGGAAAAGTCGAGCCAGTGTTCTTCATTTACATGATGTCACTAAAAGTGAGGTCAGTAACTGAAAATTTTACAACCGACAGAGATTGTCCCAATATGCACTATGCAAGTGAGGAAGGGAATGACGTACGTGCAAATAATAGCGGTAGCTGCATGCAGTGACACAGCGAGATACAGTGAAACCTGTATTAATCGGGCCCCATATTAAGCGGACACCCTCCATTAAGAACACATCAGCTTGAGTCCCAAAATTTGCTTCTAACATTTACTGTAAAGTCGTAAGAAAATTTAATAGACAAGCATTCAGCGGACATCTCTGTTAAGCGGACACCGACACCAATTTAAGCCATTTTGTTGCACAAAACCTGCAATAAGCGGACACTTCAAGGGCTTTTTACTTCTGAAAGCTCAGCTCAGACACCTTTAACATTGTTCAGCGATTTCGCTTTAAAGCTAAGTAGATTATTCCAGATTGATGCATTGACTGACTGGGCATTGTGCTACGGGCAGTCTTTGATCGTACACTGTGTTACACTGATTTACAGAAGGGTTAATAATTAACTATTATTGGGAAATATGTTTTATATAATAATCAAATGAATGCGCGCGCTCTGATTGGTCAATCAGCTATGGTTTATCAGTCGGATGGAAATTTTCTGGTCTAATAACTTTTTCTGTAGTAGCTTGGTAGTTTTTGTGTTGACATCAAGAAATAAAATTGTAACGTAAACTGACTTCATCTCTCGATGGTAGAATCCCATCTCTTCGACCGGTGAAAAACACAATGATGTCAAGCATCGACAGCGTTAGTCTGATATGGCCCTCCTCTTGAGACGAAGTCCAACATTTAAGGTCTACCAGCGTTTTTCCTAGTGCCTTGCTAGTCTTTGTCTTTACGTCAAGGCAGTCTACTATCGCCTGGAACTTCATCTCTCGATATTAGAATCCCATCTTTTCATGGGTTGAAAAGAGGATGGAGTCGAAACAACGGCCATGATTGTCTAATATGACCACCAGTTTGAAGTGGTGTAAATTTTCTGGTTTAATAACTGTTTACGTAGAAGCTTGTTAGTTTGTGCGGATATCAAGATATAAAATTGTAGTTCCGCATGATTTCCAAGAACTTGGACGATATTTCCGATTCCAAGGGAATCTAAACTAACTCGAGAAGACCCTGTTTTTCAGTGAAATCTACGGGGGGAAAAATAATTGAACGCTTGGTCATGAGCAGTCTGACCGAAATATAGCCCCTGTTATACTCACTTATAGTGACTGGAAAGTCGTAGAGACCGGGCTACGCGCACCTTGATTTTGACCTACTCAGGATCGATTTCGAAGAGCTTGGACGATATTTCCAAGTCCCAGGGACTCTGAACTAACTCGAGAAGCCCATGGTTTTCAGTGAAATCGACAGGGGAAAAATAATTGAACGCTTGGTTATGAGCAGTCTGGCCGTTAAATAATACGGCTGCCGCGATTTAAATTTTAGGATCAGCTTTTTGTCAGTAAACAGCTTATGTTGTTGTTCACGCGCAGATGATGTATTAAAAAAAATCATGTCAGGCCACCATTTGGGAAAAATTAAATGAGCGCCAACCCCCCCCCCCTTCCCTCGATTAAGCGCCCCCCTCGAATAAGCGCCCCGCATCTTCTCTTAAATTTGAATTAAGCGCCCCGGGCGCTAATTCGAGGATTTACGGTTCTTAGGATCGATTTCCAAGAACTGTCCCCCCGTTTTATGGATTTTTTTTCTTTTCCTTATTATTTTTTTCTGCTTTATACACTTTGATTTGAATGATGCAAGTGTCCTGCGTGTGTTTTCTTCAAGAACTACTACGACATAAATTATTAAAAATACAACACAAATCAGTCAAATACGAGTCAAATTCTATTCATTGACTTTTTTATCTGGCATTTCCACAGGCGTGGCCTCACCTCACCGAATTCCTGGCCCTTCATACACAAATGTCCAGGAATCCCAATATCAACCCAAATAGAGCTCTTTCTTTAATTTGTGGCTGCAAAATTGGCCATTTTTCCCAGGTCTTCAGTCCAAGGAGATGTATAAAGAAGCAAATGGACGCAAAACAATCTTTACCATTTATTCAAACATTAACCTCAATCTCGCATTTTATTCATCGATTGTTGTATCTACACAGTGCACTTTGTTGTTTGACTGCGAGATTCGTTTCCCGAGCTCAAATACGAAAAAAATACTATGGTCCCGGGTCAATTTTTCTTCCTGTTTTTGAACTACACAAAAAGAAAAACCTTACTCTGCGTTAAAAAACACACCTCGTCCAAATGAGAACGAAACATTTTCGGCCATCTCATTATATATTAATGTCGCTATTAATCCCCATATTCCACCTATCTATAGAACACGATTTTCTTCCTCAAAGCTTCAAAACATTTAAATTGATCAAGGCGTTTCTATGATCGCCACAAGTCCATTTTTCAGATTGGCTAGAAAATATAAACGCTTTTAGCTTCCGCTTAATTCTCCACTAAATCAAGGTATCAACCATCAAACGGATCAAATTGTGCACAGTATACACAGTTCTACATCACAAACTGTTACTGTATCGCTCGCCCTGTACTGAATGAACTGTTTTCTCAGTTGTAATTTTGACTGTTTCCCTTTCATCTTCCTATATACATCTAAAGAGGTAAGATGAAAACTAACTTGTTCTGCATACACCATAAATATACGATCTAGACTGAATTAAACAGTTGCCTAATTTGACTATCGTTTTACTGATAAAGAAAGCGAATGTTTTGAGTGTTAGCCTTTACGAGAGAAAATCAGGAGAATATGCGTTTAAATGCAGTGAGTGTTGGAAGGTGAAAGTAAGCAGCTACATCACCAGCAGAAATAATGAATGCATGGTAACAATGAAAACGTTGGTTGATCCTTGATGAAAGCTACACGTGCAAGGGTGATAAGCTGGAAGATTGATGATGTCACTGATGACGTCAAACTGGTGTCTTGCTGCTTTTGTTAAGAAGAGGCGGCTTGCGTTTCCCGTGAATCTTCAGATCTGTTTCGATGTGGCCCTAAAGAAACGCGCATAATGAGAAATGTTGGCCACTTAACAAATTGACGTCAGTTTTTTATGCGTCTGTCCTCTTATTGATGAGTGGCTGTGCTCTTATTGATGATATAAATGAGCCAATCAGCGCGCGAGAAATTAGACGGTTATTGTAAAAAAAAAAACAGATCGCGCATTTTTTTCAAAGAAAACTCCTCTTCCAAAATTCCTCGATGGCTTCTATTACCACGTGACCTACCTTCACTGCTGCCCCAACAGCTACAACATCAAGTAGGAATGTATCATGACCATATATGGAAGGTAGTTCATAATATGTCACATCATGGTTTTCTGGAAGAAAAAATTACAAGAAATAAAGATGATCGCCCTATAGGAAATACAGTCGAAACTCCGGTAGCGAAGACCTCTCGTAAGCCACCACCTCTCCTCAGCGACCAGTTTTACAAAATACCAACAGTTTCCCCGTCAAATCACTATATTTGAACCCTCTTGTAAGCGACCACATCTCGTAAGCGACTGCGATCACTTTTAAAGCTAAATGTTTGAAATTTTCTTTTGTTTTTAACCTCCCGTAAGCGACCACTTCACAGATAATGGAGAGGAAATTTCTCAATGGGAAGAACAGGATTTTTTTCTGGAAATAACTGTATTCTTCAAATGAATAAAACATTGCATCGACATTTGCGCAAAGGTAAGTCTAGCATTTACCACATTCTAATGAGGTAAAATTTTGTTTTAATATGGTCTAAGCTCTCGTAAGCGACCACCTCCTGTAATCGACCACCAAGGCTTGACATTTTGGGAGGTCGCTTACGGGAGGTTCGACTGTATTGGACAAAGGTCATGTTGGTAGCTGACCATTTTGCTTATTCTCATACCCCTTTTCCTTCACTGGGTATTAGTACTGTAAGGAGAAATTGGACATTGATAACTCTCTACGGATTTAACACGTACGAGCTTCTTTCAGAAGACTCTCCAGCTCTCTTTGCTGTGTGACAGGAAACAACACATCAGATTGAACTCCTAAAACCTGCAAATTAAAAGCCACAAAAGAAGTTAAAATCATCGCCACTTTTCATACAAAGACAAAAGAAATATCTGGTTAGAAAACAGACGGCTTAGTTCTTTACGACGTCATAGTTAAATTGTGATAATGAAATCACAGAGATGCTTCTCTGAAGTATGTTTAAAATGGTCGGTTCCAGGATCCTTGTAATACTTGTTGCAATACGCGTGCGCATTGCAATACTTACAAGGGTGGGGCACTGAATACGAGCCACTCCTTCCAAGAGAGAGCTGAAGCCTTCCCCCAAGTCGAACAGATCCATTGCCTGGAGCACAGTATAGAAGTGTTATTTAACAGTTATTCAAACTGATTGATAACCACAGAAACAGAGGATTCAGAGGGTGGAAATTAGTGATTCCAACAAAACATTTAAATCACCTTTGATATGTATAGTAGTGAGTTAGGATCATACTTGACACAAAAGCTGTCACCCTGTTAACGAAAAAATAAGAAAAATATTTTAAGATAGCAGTTAAATCACACAGTTACTGGGTCAGTGTACACTTTTTTGACCTTCTCTGTAAGTTACTTAGCTATTCCCCCC